ACACACACACACACACACACACACACACACACACACACACACACACACAGCATATATATATGGCCTGTGGGAGCTACAAAGATGCATTTTTCCCCCTCAAAGATGTTTTAACGTCTTTTAAAAATGTGTATTCTGCTTTAAACTACGCATTGACCATAAACTAAATCAGACATAATGAATTTTGAATATTTTACCTGTAAAATGACAGCAATCCAAGACTAGGTGGGGGTGCACAGGGTTCAAAAGTAGCCAGCAGCCAGCATTATTTGCAATGTAAAATCTCCATTTCACTGCAWTTTCYCCAGCTTCTTTTACTACAGCCCAGTTGTAATGGGAAGTGGGACTTGCCCAAGTAGTGRAAAGAGTCTCTAATTCAATGCTTTTCTGTGTTTATAAAAGGATCTGTTAAAGCCCTGTGTCTATGCAGGAAATACCATGTAGAGCTCCGTTATTGTTTGTTAGCGATGTTGATGATGATGAGGAACATGATCTTTTAGTCAAAGTTAATTACAACCATAATGCTCACGTGACACCCCTGCAGTAATGTGAACATTTGCAGTTGTTCTAAATCTAAATGAAAAAGAAATCTCACCTTGTAATCATGGACAATTCGCTCAGCAACAGCCTTGTCCAACATCTTTTTGTACCACTCCTGCAGGCGTTTGGGTTTGGGAATCTTCTGGTCCAGAGGGTGACAGTGGAAGATGTAATCGTCCCCTTCGCTGGGAGGACACGCCCAGATATGACCCGTAGTAAATCTGTCACAAAGCATGGCGTTATAAATGCTAGGATTTTATTTTAGAGGATGGAAGGTTATTACTGTTTGAAAATGACATTTTTCTTACCCTATTCGTCTGACGTACTCCAGGTAGCCCAAGAGGATCTCATGATAGACGGCGGTCCTCAGGTGTCGAGGTTTGAAGAAGTGAACGCTGTCCAGGTAGGAAATGTACACTCGCCTCTGATTYGGCGGCGGGCAGTCAGAGCCGTACTCTTGAACGTGCATCCCGAAGAAACACACGTCTGCTCCGTCAATGTCCTCAAACGCAAATAAGGCTTTCATCTTGTAGGGGAAAGACTCAGCCATCTCGCCGCTGTCCACAAACCTGAAACAGAGGCGGGAAAAAAAAAAAAACAATCAGACATTGCAATGAATCAAAAAGAAATAAAACAGCAGCACTGATTGTCTTCAGTGGGAGTAATTTGGGTCAGTTTGTTTGTAGTGAGGTCAGACTGTTTACCTGGACTTCATGCCTGGTTTGACCTCAACCACTTTGTCGGAGACGTGAACCACTCGAATGGTGACCTCTCCGGACTCGGGATGGCTCTGACGCTTGAGGTAGTCGTTCACTCGTGTCTCCAAAAAGTTGCCCAACTTTGTCTGAGGAAGCCCTGCGAAACAAACGACAACCAGCCTTCATCAGTAAAACGGTGTGACACCAATATGCAGCATCAGAAAGTGTCCGGTTAATAATACAATAACACACATTCTTTGAGAGACTACACATCAAAAAACAATAGGAATAGATCGGGCAAAAAAAACAAAACAAACAAACAAAAGCAATAAAATGGAGAAAAGAAATTCAGGTTTATTGATAAACGTGACACAACGACCCACTTTACTTACTTTTAGCAGCGTATTTGTTCTCTTTCCGCATCTTATTGGCTGTTTTCAGACAGTTGTCACAAACGAAGCTGTGAGAGTAGAAAATAAACATTCAGCTGCTGTTGTTACCTTTTACTAATACTTCATCTATTGACATCAATGACAGACTTAAGCAGTTATAAAAAAACTTTTCATTTCAGTCTGCATTTTTTCAAACTGAAGTGAAAGGGTAACTGCTCACTTTGTATAACTTTCTAAAAATCAGGAAATTTTTTTTATTGTATTAATGTTTTTACTCTAATGAGACTTAAAACTGACAGTTTCCAATCTTTTGGACAAACTAAACCTAAGGATTTTAAAACTGATCTTAAACAAAAGGTGTTGGATTTTCCAGCAATTTTCCTTAAACTTTTATAAAAAGTTTTTTAAAGACTCAGCTGAGGTACAGAATGTGTGCATGACATGTGGCTCACCCTGACGGCCATATGGTTTCATGATGCAGGACGCAGATCTGATGCATTTTACGACCACAGTCGATACATTCCACAAGTCTGAGCAGAGGAAAATCCAGAAAAGCAAAAAGACAGAAACAGAATCCAAATGTTTAACAACAAGTAATGATAAGATTCTTGCTTGTTGCTTTGAAGAAACTACAAAAACTGAGAAAAAAAACCCTAAAGTAAATAAAAACCTACCAAGACTTTAACACTCAGATCATTCGATGGTGACTCTCAGCTACTACCACAACAAACTTTAGCTCAATGTCTTTAAAACTAAGTCACAGTTATTTTTGTGTTTTTTACAGTTGATTGGCCGTGGCATCCATCTTTAACTGGGTTGACTAAGTGATAAATCAGTTATAAATATATATATACTCTCAGCACAAAAAAGGGAAATTAGTGTTTAGTAGTMTTTTGTAAAAATGTTTCTGGCAATATATCTTATAGCGAGAACCTGCTTGGCAGCACCTGAGGGTAACAGAAGCTCAAAATGTGTTGTTTTTACTGTAGTAAAATAAGCTGTTTGGCAGKGAAGATCTGATATTTTTTTCATGTGTGCAACCCACAAACTCAGCTCTACTGCTCATCCCACAAATGCATGTTCCTTACATATGTGGCAGCATTTAAATGAGAAATTAACAGACTTTCCAACAATATACAGTAAGATTTATTGCCATGAAGCACTGTTACATAAAAAAATAATCTACCAAACATTAATTTCTTACTTTTTGTGCCAAGTATACACTCAGTGAGACTTTTAAAAAAAAGTCTGTTTTCTGGTTAACAGGACATTTTGCTGACAGATTACACAGTTACTTTATAAACAAAAAAAGCTAATAAGTAAAAAAAAAAAAGGCACATACAGCTCAGGGTCGAGTGTGTCGTTCTTCTTTTTCTGGAACTGATCTTTGTTGATGGACCTGAGTGAAGAACAGTAAAAACACCATTTATAATCTTTAATCTCCCATCATCACAATTACAGATCATTTAAGAAGCCAAATACTTATTAATTCAACAGAACCTTTAAGCTGCAGGAAACAATATTAATTAATTAAAATTTAGTCTATGAACTTTACTTTGATCCACTTAATTAAAATGCTATTCATTTTCTTTATTTACCAGTTTTTAAAAACAACTGAGCATACCCCCAACAAGCCAACTTCTGCTTTTACACAATATTTTACTCAGTAATCAGAATCAGCAAACTCAACCCAATTTTTCTTCAAGTGCGTCTAATTAAAAGCAGGGAACAGGTGCACAAATCTTTGCTTTCTCCTGTACTTACAGCTTTATCTAAAACTGCTTAATTCATCTGTTTAAAGGACAACACTGAGCGCTTTGTCTTGCTATCACGATAACTGAATTACAGCCTTTCTGCAAACAGGCTTCCTACCGCTTAAGGCAAATAAGACTTTTTAAGACCTTTTTGATGCCACTTGAAAAGAAATTTAAGGCCAACTTCACAAAAAACACAAATGTAAAATAAAATTAAAAAACAGTTACTGACAGTTTATTTTAACACAAAACAACTAGCTGAGAGAGGCATTCTGTAAATAATTTAAAAAATAAATGTTCCCAATTATTTTAATATTTGAGACAAATTACAATCATCTTAATTACAATGTTTAACATTTTTAAGACTTCTGAAAGATTGATTTAAGACATTTTAAGGCTAATTAAGGCCTTATTTTTGGTTTGATGAATTCAATGCCTTTGAAGACTTTTTAAGGATCTGCAGGAACCCTGGCAAAATACTGAAGAGCAGAAACTGTTCCTTCCAACATTTTAAAAACTTACATCAGCAATTCAATTCAACAAGTTTAGTAATCAGAACTGACGACTGTTTCACACAAACGTGTGTTAGAAGAGGTACTCACGCCTGAGGCTGGGAGGGGTCGTCCCCCAGGGAGACGTTCTCGCCTTGGATTTCGTTGAAACACTTCTCACAGAAGTGGTACCTGTCAGCAAGAAGCCCATATTTTGGTGAACTACACCGTTCGCCATCAGCACAGCCAATCACAGAGAGGGCACGAGGAAGCAGCCGCCAATCAGGGCAGGGCAGGACAGGACAGGCCGGGGGGAGAGGGCACGCACACGCACAGGATGAGGCAGAGGACAGGGTGGGTCGTCGCCAGGAGGCAGCAGCCAATTGCGGTGCAGAGGGGAGGGGGAGGGGCGGGAGGGTTTGCGTGGGCGGGCGTTTTGATTTTTGCACGTAAATTTTGGAGTGGATGATTGGTCACACCAAAGCAGGCCAATGCAGACATGACAAGCGTTAAGAGAGAGAGAGAGGAGAGAGGGGGAGGGAAGGGAGGGAGATGAGGGAGGGGAGGTCACATTGAAATTAAAAACAAATAAAAAAAATAGGTGAAAAGTTGTTACAGGTCAGACGGAGACGGATGGAGGGACACAGAGGAGGTGGAAAAAACAACCAACAGAGGACAGAGAGCCAAGGCAAAGCAAAGATTAGCGTCAGACGTTCAGTGGTAAACAACAACAACAACAACAAAAACAACAACATTACAGCAACATGAGAGATCACCAGGAGCTGTGGGGGAGCAGGGCAGCGACGGTACAAACTCCAAATATGAACAAAGGTGAATGAGGAGAGAATAATAAAAATAAAACATAAAGCAACAGAGATCCATCATCCTTTCAGCTCACTCATAAAGTGGGAGCCTTTCTTCTGCCTGTATTTCGTGTAAACAAAAAAACAAAACAAAAACAAACAAAAAACAAAACCCTGAGCAGACAACGAGTCAAAGGACTAAAGAAGACAGGAGCCCACTTTATGAACGAAACTCCAACAACGATCTGTGAAGATGGAGATGGTGTCAGAGGAACCATCTGAAGCCAAATTCAGACTCATCTGTGATTGTACTGATGCTAAGCTGTAGGAAACATAATCATTGTGGGAAAAAAACAAAAACAAAAACAAAAAACAAAAAAACCCGACACATTCTAGGTGATCCGTCTGGCTCAGTTACAAGCAAAAAAAAGAAAAAAAGGGGAAAAAAAAGAGGGTTTAAATCACATTCAAACTTTCTGAATGCTGTTTGTTGTCTCCTGTGAAGCGTTCAGACTGCGTTAATGTCCCTCACCTGTTCTGGTAGCTGAAATAAGCGGCATCACGCTGGATGGTGCACAGCTGTTTCCCGTAGCAGCAAAGAGTTTGGGGGGAAAACTCAAACTGTAACATAAAGAAAACAGGACAACATTTACAGATGTGTAACCTGCACACAAAAAAATTGAGAAAAATAAATACAAATTTTAAACAAATATCTCCTCCATGCTTATGGAAAGAAAAACACGTCCATATTTTTCTATCAGAAATGATCACATATTTTCACTGCAACATTAGTATGTCCACAGTAACGTCACATCAAAATACAAGGAAAACATTCTTAGTTTGGCTCAAGATTCTTCCAAAACTGTCCTTAAAGGCTACAAGAAGCAAACTAACTAACACACTAGAGGAGGTTTTCATTTAAATACTAGCAGGCACTTAAACAAGGGATATATTCAGGTCCAGTTTATGTGTCAACATTTTATTTCACGTCAAACTTATGGCCTTTGTTAATGTTTTCTCCAGCCCCAACAGCATTCATTACTTTAAATGTGAAATAGTTTTAGTTTTGTTTTTTGTCACTGAATTTAGCTGATTCTTCACGACAACTAAACAACTTTCAAGCAAAGAAAATTTAGAACTTTTTTGTGTCTTTGACTTTGATGTGTAGAGTAACAGAGAATTGACTTTAATTATCTTTTTCTGTATTATTATTATTATTATAGACATTATTGAACGTAATGGATTTAAAAGAATAAACAAAGTTATATATAAAAGAAAAATAAATTTATAACAAAAAGCAAACAAAAAACAAGAACAACAATAAATTATATTTACACGTTCAAACTTATTTTCTCATTTAAAATCAAACAATTGGATTTTAGTAAAGGTTTTCTTTTTTTACCCAATTTGATAAAATGCATCTGTAAGAAATAATAAATAAAACATAGATGTAAAAATTAGTGTATTTCTTAATTTGATATTTTTTATTTAGGTTATGTTTGTTCTAAATCCTACATAAAATATTAGATTAGATTTGCTTTACTGTCATTCAAACATAGCATCAGAGATGCAATGAAGAACGAAATGCAGTTAAGATCACCCGTATAATTTGGCAAAGGTAATTTGTATATCTAAAAGAACTTGTTTTAAAGCATTTCTTTAAATAAATAGACAGAAATTGGCCCTGGTCTGGACAAAGTTTTGAATTTTACACCTCTAGTATAACTAGGGATAAAGTACCTTTGACGTTTGAATCAATTCAGTATCAATACCCGGTACCTGGGAATCTGTACCGGTACTTAACGGTACCAATTTTTGGTACTTTGTGTGTGTTGTTTATTCAATAATAAACTTTTATTTTTTTATTTAACTTATTTCTCGATATATAAAATTAAAAAATATCAAGACAACATCCAACTCTTTGTATTGTAACATCAGTTGTGTAACTTATTTCTTTAAAGTGCAAACTCTTGAAAACAACAAGACTGTTTTGTCCATCCATCCATCCATCCATCCATTTTCTTCCGCCTATCCGGGGTCGGGTCGCGGGGGCAGCAGCTTCAGAAGGGAGGCCCAGACCTCCCTTTCCCCAGCCACTTCTTCCAGCTCCTCCGGGGGAACTCCAAGGCGTTCCCAGGCCAGCCGAGAGACATAGTCCCTCCAGCGTGTCCTGGGTCTTCCTCGGGGCCTCCTCCCGGTGGGACGTGCCCGGAATAKCTCACCAGGGAGGCGTCCAGGAGGCATCCTTACCAGATGCCCGAGCCACCTCAACTGGCTCCTCTCGACGTGGAGGAGCAGCGGCTCTACTCTGTGTCCCTCCCGGATGACCGAGCTTCTCACCCTATCTCTAAGGGAGAGCCCAGCCACCCTGCGGAGGAAACCCATTTCGGCCGCTTGTATCCGGGACCTCGTTCTTTCGGTCATGACCCAAAGCTCATGACCATAGATGAGGGTAGGAACGTAGATCGACCGGTAAATCGAGAGCTTCGCTTTCTGACTCAGCTCTCTCTTCACCACGACGGACCGGTACAGCGCCCGCTTTACAGCAGACGCTGCGCCAATCCGCCTGTCGATCTCCCGCTCCGTTCTTCCCCCATTCGTGAACAAGATCCCCAGATACTTAAACTCCTCCACTTGAGACAGGGCGACCCCCCTGACCCGGAGAAGGCACTCTGCCCTTTTCCGGCTCAAGACCATGGCCTCGGATTTGGAGGCCATGGTCTAGTTAGTTTTCATTTGTCTCTAAAAACTGTATCTAAGAGCATATATAATGTATTTTTATTTCTTTCCTGCTGTTTTGTCTTATTGCACAAATTAAAATCCAGCTCCACGTGTTTCTATTGATGTCATTTCCCCGCTAGAAAAATTGTGTGATGGAGGTCCATGGAAGGCAAATAAGTTTAAATCAAATAAACAAAATAGGATGGAGTTAAAATAAATAAAAGTTATTCAAGCTACGTTTTGAGCATCCAAAACGCGTCCAACACTTCAAGTTAGCTGGTTGTGCTCTTTCAGGTCAGATGTGTTCGGCCTGTCGGGAAGCTCCTCTGTTGTTTTCCTCTGCCGGTCTCTGTTTAATGGCGGATGAAATAAAGAAAGTGGCGGTACTTTATTTACTTTGAGCAAGTGAACGTCGTGCTCACAAGATAATTAATCCACCAGATAATTCAGAGGCGGTCTGTTCGACAAGTTTCACTCCAGGAGCTGCGAGGCTTTCAGCTACGTTCAGACCGAGCTCTGCCTCTCTTTACCAGCAGCTGCTGATGTCATTATGCTTTTGCGTGATGCTGCGTTCAGGACAAGCATGGAAAACTCACTACTCTTACGCCAAACCGGCCGCAATGATGCATTTAGATACCGAAACATGGTACCGTTTGATGTTACGTGAATAGATACTCGGTAGTACCGACAGAATTCGGTCTTTACATCAAAAAGTATCGAATTCGGTACCCATCCCTAAGTATAACTGAGTCTGACATGATTTAACTTATTATCATCAGGGGGCAAGTTTACATTTAAAAATTATAGTTTGTTAGGATAAAGATATAAATTTCCATACATAATGTGACAAAATAAATTAATAATTTTATAGATTTTTCCCCCACACATTCCTGATTTATTCTATAAAAGAAAATATTATAGATTTTTTTTTTTTGGACAAAGACTGAAAATTCTGCCATTTGGTGAAAAAAAATATTTTTTTCATAAAGCATTGTTTAAAGACTTCAGTCAAATTTTCCATTTCAGCAGGAAAGAAATAAAAATACATTATATATGCTCTTAGATACAGTTTTTAGAGACAAATGAAAACTAGCTATAATTGATTCTGCCAAGTCAGATATACCCCCAAAAATAATAAAAAAATGAATTTTTTTTCTCCGAGTTTTTTATCTGTATAGAGTGGTTTGAAACAACGTTTGTTGTGACTTGGTGCTACATAACTAAACTGAATTAAATGAGTTCAGAAACTACTAACCTGAGCACCTCAACAAAGAGAAAAGGAGTAAGAGCAGCTGAGACTCACCTTCCTCCCACAGCAGTAGCCCAGGCCCTGCATGACGGGGTCGATCTCTGCCTCAAACACCTCGGCCAGCTTGGAGCAGTACTTGTAGACTCTGGAGGTCTTGCGGTTGTACAACCAGGCGTTGTTGAACATGAGCCAGATGTCCTCGATGTACTGCCACGGCTCTTCGTACTGACCCGTGTCCAACTTCCGCTTGATGGTGGACAGGTCCATGGGGTTCTTCACAATGTCAAAGTAGTCCTGAATTGTCAGGTGGAGGTGAGAAAAGGAAGGTCGGTGGAACGGTTTGGTCAATGGGGAGGGAGGAGGAGCACCACCGGCATTGTCGGGACGGTGGACATCAGAGGTGGGTGCGGACCAGGTGGGACCAAAGTAAGGAGAGAAGAGGGTGCAGGGGGGACAATGTTGTTGAGCGCTGCAGAGAAAAAGGTTCACGTGCAAACAGAGAGACATGACAACTTCTGCCCTCCAGCTCTTTGCTTTGCACCCAAAGTACCCGACTGTGTGAGAGCAGCAGCCAGACCACCGAGACAGAACCGCCCGGTCCTCTGCTGCTAAAGACAAACTACAGAATCATATGGGACATTCATACCAATCAATGGGTCAGGAAAATAAAGATCCCACACCGCTGGAAAATTTGAAAAGCTCAACTCTCAGGCTCAGGTAGTGAGAAGGGTGCAAAACCAAGAAGAAACAGAGCAACAGGCTGACAGAGATCTGTGCTTTCAGCTACACTGTGGTTTGCATCAACAACGCCAGCAGGATGAGAGGAAATAAGATGGCCGGGTTAAAGCCAGCGAAGCTGAGGTGATGCAGATGCACGTGAGATGGACGAGTCTCCAGAGTTGTTTTTCTCTCTTCCTGCTGCTGCTCTGCCTCTCCTCCGAAACACAATGTGGAGTGTTAAAGAAGCAGAGACGAGGGTGAGGAAAACAACCCCCCACCCTTTTTTTTTGAGATTCAACAAAAGGCAAAATAAATAAATAAATAAATTGGTGCGAGTTTCAAAGAGCAGGGTCCATTTTCAGCATCACCATGGCAACGTGAGTTATGAACAGACCCTCGTCTCTGAATGGATGCACTCACACCAACAAACAAGGGATGCATATTAGCCTTGCAGCCTGTGGGGGCAAATTTACGCCACAGCCCTCCGGTGCTTATAGACCAGCATGAACCAAACACAGCTCTGTGCAAAATTTTAAAACCACCTCTCATTTCCTTATAGTTTAATTCCAACGTGACTTTTCTCACATATTTAAAGAAGTCTTGATCAATATGTGACCCGTCACATTAAACCGAGGATTCAGTCACAAAGTGGTAGGTGGAGAAATAGGTAGCTATAGGTCATTAGTTAAAATCAGAGTTGTAAAGTAACTAAGTACAAATACTTTGTTACTATATTTAAGTAGAATTTTTGGGTATCTGGACTTTACTTGAGTAATTATTTTTCAGCCTACTTTTTACTTCTACTTCTTACATTTTCACAATCCATATAAATTGTGCCTCCTAGATAGAGTGAATTTAATTGTACCTGAATTAGACGTATAAATATATAAAGTTCTGATACCCTATTAGTTTATACACAAACAAATCATGTCACACTCCATAAAGACAATCATTAAAATAAAAGGACTGTACTTAAGAAGTATTTGTATTTCATGTATTATATTATTGCATTTGGCCACAGCCCTCTGTTAGATTTTCATTTTGGGGAAAAGGTTTGGCACTCTGGATATATAAACTGAAACAGCTGGACTAGTGCATCCTAAATTTAACAAATTATTTTAATACAATATAGTCATTTCTGCATTTTTTTGGGGAGGTCACATCCTAATAAAAGGTACTTACGAAAAATCTTAACTGCTCATTTTAAATCAGTACTTTTACTTTTAATACTTAAGTACAAAAAAATCTGGTACTTTAAGACTTTTACTCAAGTAATATTCCTAAAGGAGACTTTGACTTTTACTAGTAATTTTTTGATAACATACTTGTATTTTTACTCAAGTATCACTTTGTGGTACTTTACACAACACTGGTTAAAATGTTGTCAAAATCTAATATATGAACACTATTTAAATGAAATATAATCCTACATAAGTTCTTGCAGCACTTTTGTGAGCAGTAGCTACAAAAAACATAATCTTGAGCAGAAAAGCCTTAAATTTTTGTCATATTCTCAGTGAGTAACCTAAAAATAGGATTCTGACCAAATATCTACGTAATATCATGAATAAAAAAAACAAATGAAGACATTTCTGAAACAAATAATGACATCAGGATGATCCAGGTGTCAAAATGTAGTTTTAAAAAGTAATCTGAATATGTGCTTCAGTCATTTTGACCAAATTTAGCTTAATCCTCAGTTTGATGTGATAGACCACAGATAATGTCTTTAAAAGTTAGGTTGTTTTGGACTTCGGCTGATTTTTCACTCATTTTCTATCCAGTTTTGTTCCTGACCATGAAACAATATTGTGCAGTGTTTGTTAGCACACTGTGTCACAAACTTTATTGTATAACAAGAAAATCTGACAACAGATCTGAGATGCATCATTGATTTTATATCAAAGTTTCAGTTAATGATTTGGGACCATGTTGGTGCTAAAAGTGTGGTAAACTGATTCCATTTCATTTTTTATAAATTCAACTGAACAACGGGAATAAATTGTGTGTTTGTGACGGCTGCAGGTAGCAAAACAACTAAAGATCGACTGAAGAGCTTGTTGTTTTGTAGCTTGCTACAGTTGTTTTTAGTTAAAACTGTTTGAAAAAAGCAACAAAAAAAATAAAAATAAAAACAATCGTTACAGTCGCTACAAACAAGTTACTCTGATCTGTGTGACCGCACCCCGGTTGCTCCTAATTTACATTACTTGCGTTCTGTCTCCACTCCGCTGCGCAGGTCGCAGTTGTGCATTTCAAGTCCAGTTTACATTATCGCCGCTCCGCTCCGACAGACGTGCAGGAAGCAGATCGCACAATAAATTCAGTGATAAGTGTGGAAGTCACAGCAAAAAATTAATTCTGTGAAAGACGAACTCCAAACACAGCTGAAAACAACGATATAAAGGCTTTTGGTATCTATGTTGAAACTGTCTCGCTGTCGGCGTTCTGAAACTTCTGATTTCAAAATAAAATGCACGTGTATCGTGTGTGTACACATATGCTTCACGCTACATTTCCATCTGCTTCTCAAACAGAACAATACATTCTGACACCATTTGTGTAGAAACATCCGTATATTTACTAATAAAGCCGCAATTTCGACATTATTCAGACAAATTATTCTGCCGAATAGTGTCTTATTTTGAAAATATGGATGTTGTGCTCGTTTCTGTTCCTGTTGGTGCAACGTAATCTTTAAAAATTGACTCCGGCGCTGCTCCGTCGTCCGGCAAACATAGGATCTTTCTAATTTTGACAGATCGCTGTCTGCTCACCGCCGCCCAGCACAGCCAGAGTAACACTCTCATTGATTATAATGGGTGCGTATTTGCAGCGGAGGTCGGACCGGAGTGGAGTGGAGACGGAACGCAAGTAGTGTAAATTGGGGGTTAGTGAACCAATCCAGGGCTGTAAAGGATAATGCAAACATGCCCAGGCCAGTCCTTGTGGTGAAAAAGGCCACGTGTGTCAGTTTCCTTGAAGAAAAGCATTTTACCTGCTACCTTTAGCTTTAAATTAAGATCAACTTGTGTTCAGAAATGAAGTTTTAGTTGAAAATTCAAAATAACATCAGTCCCTGCAATAAGGGGCAGATGTTATACGATTAATTTCTTCCCTTTGCTTTCTTTTATATAATTTATATAAATTGTGTTTTTTTTTTGTCTTTAGATTTTTTTCTTGTTTTAATGAATGAATAAAATTAACAAATAATGAAAAAAATCTGAATCCTCAGAAGTGAAATTTACAGAAATTAGGGGTGACTCAAGCACAGTATTGTATCATGTAGAAATGTTTTTTAAAAATATTGTTTCACCAGATAAAGAATCATAAATTTAAGATTATTCATATTTCGTGAATATGAAAAGTAATTCAACAATAAAAGATAACTCTGTCTCTTTGTCTCAAATACTGAGGCGCAACGTATCATCTCACCTCTGAACATCGTCAAACCACAACTAATGAGAAGATGGAGAACTAGTTTACAATGATGAAAGCTACTTTAACTCAAAACTAAACTTTAAGCACAAAAGACAAACAAAGCAGTAAATGAAAGCAACTGGCTTATGAAATGTAAAAGATTTTCTTCAGTGAAATACAGAGAAAATCTCTCGTTTTTATCTGATGAGCCAATAATTCAAGTGCTACAGTGATATCTGGATCACATAACGATCATTTTAACAGGATGATATTAGCTGTTGGTAAAATATATGACAATAAAAACATGACATGAATTTAGAATGTTTTGTCATGTTTGAACTTGTACACATGTTCATAAGTGCCAATGCTTTGATCTACAAACAAAAAAATAAAACAACTACTTCACACACATAAAATGTTCTTAAATCTAATTTTCTTAACCTTTTTCATGCAATGAGGAAAAAAACATTAAAAGAAACTTTAGCTACAGAAAAAACAAGATTAAAATCTGTGGCAATAAATGGAAAAACAAGAAAGAAAACAAAAAATCTATGTTTTTATGATGAAGCAAAATGGCAGCCAGCGCAGTCCCTTACCAGGTTAGTTTTGTTACTAGTTCGAATACGTACGGGTATTCCCAGTAACTGGGGGTCCACCGGCTGACGGAAAGGAAGGGACTCAGGGTCCTGGCGATACAAAGACTCCAAGGTGGGCATGAGAGCCTGACGCAGCTCCTCGGGCTTAAAGACTGGAAAAGGAGGAGTGATGAAAACAGAAATGAGGAGGAGAAACAGAGAGGAGGCGGCCAAGGTTTAAAGCCACCGTTTTCTGCTGCAGMTGAAAATATTGATCTTCCTACTAGACGTGCACCAGAGCTGCGCAGGAAGCTGCTGCTGCCATTATGTGTGCCTGCTCATAATTTAATATAAATCTTGTATTAACAACAACACCACGGTAAACTGATGACAGTTTAAAACAAGGGTGTCCAATCCTGGTCCTTCAGGGCCGTTATCCTACGTTTTACTTGTTTCTCTACTCCAACACACCTGATTCAGTGATTCAATCCCCTCTTCAAGCTCTGCAGAAGCCTGATAATCACTCATTAATACAGCATAGCYTCGCTGCAGGACCAGGATTGGACTCCCTTGCTTTAAATGTTTCTAAAATAGTGTTTTGATTAACTGATGTTAAAAAAAAGAGATTAAGCTTGTTTTAAGACTGCATTGGGACTAGCTGTTACCTCGTTAATCCAGTCAGAATAAACTCTGAAGTTGTTCAAGTTGTGCAAGCTATTTATTGTTCATAACCTTTCCAACAAACCCTACTACAAAGTATGGATGGTACCTTTGACATTTGAATCGATCCGATACCTGGGAATCAGTACCGGTACATAACAGTCCCAATTTTAGGTACTTTGTGTGCTATTTTTTAATAATAAACTTTTTTTTTATTTAACATATTTCTCAATATATAAAAATGAACAAATATCAAGACAACATCCAACTCTTTGTTTTGTAACATCAGTTGTTTAACTACTTACTATAAGGTGAAAACTCTTGAAAACAACAAGACTGTTTTGTCTTTTTACACAAATTAAAATCCAGCTCCACGTGTTTCTATTGATGTCATTTCCCTGCTAGAAAAATTGTGTGATGGAGGTCCATGGAAGGCAAATAAGTTAAATCAAATAAGCAAAAGAGGATGGAGTTAAAATAAATAAAAAGGTATTCAAGCAACGTTTTGAGCATCCAAAACACGTCCAACGCTTTTTAAAGTTGGTTGCTTGTGCTCTTTCAGGTCAGACGCATTCAGACTGTCAGGAAGAGCCTCTGTTGTTTTCCTCTGCCGGTCTCTGTTTAATGGTGGATGAAATAAAGAAAGTCATGGTACTTTATTTACTTTGACAAAGCGTATGTCGTGTTCACAAGATAATTAATCCACCAGATAATTCAGAGACGGTCTGTTCGGTGAGTTTTACTCCAGGAGCTGCGAAGCTCGCTTCAAGCTACACCGAACTCTACCGAACCAGCAGCTGCTGACATCATTACACTCTTGCACGATGCTGCGTTCATGACAAGCACGGAAAACTCAACACTCTTACGCCAATATGGCCACAATAATGCGTTTAGTTACCGAAACATGGTACCGTTTAATGTTACGTGAATAGGTACTCTGTATTACTGACAGAAATCAGTCAGTACTTATAAAAGTATCGAATTCGGAACCCATCCATGCTACAAAGTGAACAAACTATCCCTTTAAAAGACTCAAACAGCGCACATGAAACACTCAACCCAAACAGATTTAGGACCAACGGTTGTTTGTTTACTTTAACCTGACATGTTGTCTAGAGTTGCACAGAATTTAGGATTTTCTCATTGAAGAGGAAAAATAAACTCTCCAACTGCCTATAACCGTGTCTCTTTTGTGAAGCTTCTGCTTTATTCTGTAAGATGAAACTGAATAAAAGTGAACTGTGTGATGAAGCCAATAAGCAATAATAAATTTTGGACATTGTAGAACCCAAACAGCACAAACATGTATGAAATGTAGGATTCTTCCCTCTTCTGTCTAACATCTTGTTAAAACCAGACTGCTGTAAACAACATTACTCACTTTTCTTTTTGCTCTGAGTGCTGACTGAGGAGCTGTTGGTTACTGATGACCCTGATCCCTCCTCTTCCTCCTTGGGCTCCTTCTTCACTTCTGGCTTCTTGTCTTCACCTGATGATTCTGACACCGACTCGGAGGAGGAGGATGTATCCATGGGCTCACTTTTACACCCGTCTCCTGAAGACTTCTCTTTCTTCACCTGACAGGAGGATTGTATCAGCGTAAAGATTTCCTTTTCATGTTAAAATATTCAGCCGAGTCAAAACTATTCAGGGTTTCTGAGAATCCTACCTCAGGTTTCTCTTCAGTCTTCACCTCAGGCTGACCCTTCCCCAGCTTTCCCTTGCCATCTCCTTGGGCGTCAGCTCCTTCGGTGTCCTCCTCTTCCTCCTTCTCGGTTTCCATCTTGACATCTTCCTGGCTGGGAGCAGGGCCGTCTGCAGGGGTGAGCTGCGAGCCGGGATCAGTGCTGCCCGGGATCGAGGGCGGAGAAGAAACCTGACCATCAGCTGTCAGTGAAGGCTTCGGAGAGTGCTGAAAATGAACAATAAGGAGGGTCAGAAATACTAAATTTAAAGTATATTATTCTGGATTGTAAGAACAAAAAACTGCCTAAAACATTAAAACAACATGGTTTGTTAAGACCAACACGTCTGCACTCACTGGAGTCTGCGGCAGCTGTAACGGTGCGTGAACGTTGCGGGCTGGGATCGAAGAACTCTGCCCTACCTGCGGGCCTGGAGAAGCCCCGCCCCCAAGTGTTTGTTGAGGAGGCTGATTGGTTTTGTCAGAATTCACCATTTGCCCTGATGGCTGCTGCTCTGAAGCTTGTTGCTGCTGCTGCTGCTGYTGGGGGTGCTGCGGAGGAGGCATCAGAGGTGTGGTGGGGGTCTGAGGCTGTGGGGTCTGAGAGCGGGTCCCCGTGGGCGGCGTCTGATGGGGCTGAGGCGTCGAGCTGCATGCCGGTGARGGGGAGTTTGTTCGGACAGGCGGGCAGAGAGGGAAAGAGTTGGGCTGGGTGGAGGACGGAGGAAGGTTCGGGAGAGGCCCGACACAGTTAGCGTTAGCGGGCCCCACAGAAGCACCTGGGGCTCCGGGGCCTGGGACAGAGGAGGTGGACTGTGCTGCTGGGCTGCTGGCGGGGAGGGAGGAGGGTGTAGACATCTGGTTCTGCTACAGAGGATCAGACATACTTTTATTGTTCATTTATTAAAACAAAAGAGAAAAAAAGAACACTACCACACCAAACTTTAGCTCAGTGTTTGTAAATTTAACTAGTTTATGACCATTCTTGCGTTGTCCATGGTCTGTGGCGGCCATCATGAACTATGCTGACTTTTTTTTTTGTAAAAAAAAAAAAAACTTCTTGGTTTTTATCCTGATTTTAAAGGGATCCGTGATTAGTTGTAACATTAGACTTTATTTAATAAACATGTATTTTAA